CTGGGCCTGGCCCGGCCGCACGGCGGCCGCACGCGGCGCGGCGCTGCGCCCGGGTGTGCGTGCTCGCCCTTTGGCGTGGGGCCGGCGGGAGGGCCAGTGGGGCGAGCTGGCCGGTCTTCGAACGATTTTGGCGTCTTGGGGGGTCCCGAGGGTCGGGGCGATCGGTACGGGTACAGAAAGAGAATGGGTACGATGCCCAACAGCAGTTCCTGTTCATTTTGGGCAGGACTCGCTGTCCGCGCCGCCGCCGCCGCCTGCGTCCATTCGAGACAGACGGCCGCCTGCTCACCAGCGGCCGCTGTTGGTTTGGGACAACATTTGTTCTTGGGCAATTGTACCCATTTTTTCCGTACCCATTTCGGGCGTCCAAAGGGGGGTTTCCGAGAGCATTTGGAACCGCCCTGTGGCCCTCGTCGGGCCTATTGGAGGGATGGCAGAAGCCATCTTGAACCATGGTCGGCTATCTTGAACCATCTCGGCGGCCATCTTCTTGGAGCATCGGAGCTCCCCTGGCAGCCATCATGGGCCATCTTGGGTGCCCTGGCACTCCGCCATCCCTCCAACAAATCTCAGGGTTGGGGGGGCGGGTGGGATGGAACAAATCCCAGAAGGGAATAGGGGTTGGACGGGGGAAGAATGATACCGTTTGGCCACCTTAGCCCAAAGGGCTGGTGGGATTTAGTAAGAGGAAGACGAGATGGATGTTGATGATGATGATGATGTTGATGCTGCTGCTGATGATGATGAGGCTGCTGCTGCTGACGACGATGCTGCTGCTGATGATGATGCCACTGATGATGATGATGATGATGCTGACGATCATGCTACTCATGACTATGAGGATGAGGACGATGATGAGGATGCTGATGATGAGGGTGAGGGTGATGGTGATGATGCTGCTGCTGATGATTCTGCGGATTGATGATGATAATGCTGTTGATGATGATGGATTTGAAGATGATCATGATGCTGATGATGATGATGATGATGATGACGCTGCTGCTTATGCTGATGATGGTACTGATAATACTGCTACTGCTCAGGATGATGATGATGCTGATGATGATGCTGTTGATGATGACTACGACAACGACGACGCCGACGATGCTGATGATGATCATGATTATGATCATGATGAGTCTGATGATGCTGCTGATGATGATGCTGATGATGGTGATGCTGACGATGCTGCTGACGGTTCTGATGATGATGATGATCATGATGTTAGTTATTGGTATGATGATGCTGATAATGATGATGAAAATGCTGGTGATGCTGGTGATGATCATGATTCTGATGATGCTGATGATTAGGATGATGCTGATGATGATGAGGATGATGTTAACGATGATTGTGATGATGAAGATGGTCATGCTGATGATGATGCTGCTGATGATGACGACGACGACGACGCCGCCGCCGACGATAATGATGATGCTTATGATGCATCCTATGATGATGCTGATGATACTGCGGATGATGATGCTTATGATGATGACGATAATGACGACGATTCTGATGCTGATGATGATAATGATGATGATGGTGGTGACGATGTAGATGATCATGCTGACGCTGCTGATGATTCTGATGATGCTGCTGCTGATGATGGTAGTGCGGCTTCTAATGATTATGTAAATGACGACGACGATGCTGATGGTGATGATGATGCTGATGATGCTATTGCTGATGAGGTTGTTGTTGATGGTGATGATGATGGTGATGATAGTGATACTGATGATGATGCTGATGATGAGGATGATGATGCTGACGATGCTGATGATGATGCTGATGCTGCTGCTGCTGCTTGTGCTGCTGCTTGTGCTGCTGCTATTGCTGATGCTGGTGTTGACGATGGTGGTGATGACGCTGCTGTTGCTGATGGGTATCCTTGCGCTGATGATGATGCTGATGATGATGACGATGATGATGCTGATGGTGATGACGATGGCGATGACGACAACGACAACGGCAACGCCAACGACGACAATGACGACGACGACGACGACGACGACGACGACGACGACGACGACGATGATGATGATGATGATGATGATGATGATGCCGTTGCTGATGCTGCTGATGCCGATGATGATGAGGATGATGAGGGTTGTGTCGGTAATGCTGCTGATGCTGTTGCTATGCTAATGCTGATGATGATGATGATTTTATCGGTAACGCTGTTGCTGCTGATTGTGTTGTTCATATTGGTGTTGACAATGCCAGTGACAATGACAATGGCGATTACGGCTGATGCTGCTGCTGATGATGCTGATGCTGATGATGACGACGCCGACGATGAGGATGATGACGCGGATGGCGACGTCGATGATGCTGATGCTGATGCGGATGCTGCTGCTGCTGATGATGACGAGGATGAGGATGCGGCTACTGATGACGATGCTGCTGCTGCTGCCGATGATGATGATGATGATGATGATGATGATGATGATGATGAGGTTGTTGTTGTTGTTGATGATTATGGCGAGGGCGACGACGACGATGGTGCTGCTGCTGCCGATGATGATACGGCTGATGGTGTTGATGATGAAGACGATCTGATGATGATGCGGATGATGATGCTGATGCTGATTCTGATGCTGCTGCTGGTGATGATGATGATGCTGATGATGCTGACGAGGGTGATGGTGATGGTGATGATAATGATGGCGGTGATGACTTTGATGATGATGATACTGATGATGCTGATGGTGCTGATGGTGCTTATCATGATGATCATGATGCTGCGGCTGATGAGGATGATGATGACGATGACGATGGTGATGCTGATGATGCCGATTTTGATGCCGATTTTGATGACGATGACGATGACGATGACAATGACAATGACGACGACGATGACGAGGATGATTATGTTGATGATGATGATGCTGATGCTGATGATGCTGATGACGACCACGATGGTGGTGTTGATGACGATGATGAAGATGCTGATGCTGATAGTGATGATGCTGACAATGATGATGATAATGATGATGATAATGCTGAGGTTAATGCAGATGACGATTATGATGATGATGACGACGCTGATGATGCTGATGATGAGGATGTAGACGATGCTGATGATGCTGATGATGACGATGGTGATGAGGATGCTGATGATGATGAGGATGAGGATGAGGATGACGATGAGGATGACGATGATGACGATGACGACGACGACGACGATGATGATGATGATGATGATGGTCATGATGATGCTGACGATGCTGATGATGCTGCTGATGATGATGAGGAGGAACTGGATGAGGATGATGCTTATGATGATGATGATGATGATGATGATGATGATGATGATGATGATGATGATGATGATGATTCTGATGATGATGCTGATTATTATGATGACGGTGATGACGTTGCTGATACTGCTGCTGATGATGATGATGACGATGATGACGACGATTCTGCGTATGATGTGGATGATGAGAACGGAGAGGAGGAGGAGGCGGAGCAGGAGGAGGAGGAGGAGGAGGAGGAGGAGGAGGAGGAAGCGGATAATCAGGAGCAGCATGCGGGGGAGAAGGGAGGAGGAGGAGGGGGAGGAGGAGGACGAGGAGCAGCAGGAGCAGCAGGAGGAGGAGTAGGACGAGTGTAAACCGAAGACTCATCGACGGTGTTGGAATGCACCCTGCCTGCAAGCTTTCTCTTCAGAGGTCCCCCAAGGATTCATTTCCACTCGGGGATGTGCCCCGTTGGGAGAAAACCGTGTGCGAGTCCCGAAGCTTGGCGAAACACCAGTCTCAGGACTCCAACGCAACGGGTCAACTTGACTGTTGCGACTGGAGGATCCTGAATCGTGCCAGAGCACCATTCCTGGGACTTCAACACCGCGAATCAACGTACCTGTTGCGCCCTGACGTTCACGAATCGCTCCGAACCGCCATGTCTGGTAAGTTAGCCATGAGAGTCCGTGAAACTCCTGCATTTTTGGAAACTAATGTGCGTGGCGCTAATGCGAGAGCCACACTTTTGATACGTAGCTGCCCTCAGTCCGTGAAGCTCTTGCAAACATTTCCAAAACAACAATATACAAATGTGCGCGACGCTCAGGCGAGAGCCAACTCTTGGAACGACCCGCCCTCAATCCGTGAAGCCTTAGCATAAAAGACATGTACGCGGCGCGAAGGCGAGAGCCACATTTTGAAATTCATCTGTCCTCAATCCGTCTCTCAAATGTTTAAGACGATCGTGCGTGGTGCTAAAAAGCGAGAGCCACATTTTGAAAACCAGCAGCCTTCCACCTGTGAATCTATTGCCAGTTTCTTCGCTTGAGGCTCATAAATGGTAAGGAAGTCTCAGGCGAAACGCCCAGCCCGCTCTTCCGACTGACCTCGGGGTGCGACAGGGATGAGTTCTTCAGAAGGAACAGGAATGGAGAAGGAGGAGGGGGAGGAGGAGGAGGAGGAGGAGGAGGAGGAGGGGGAGGAGGAGGAGGAGGAGGAGGAGGAGGAGGCGGAGGAGCAGGAGGAGGAGGAGGAGCAACAGGATGAAGGGAGGATGAGGGCATGGTGAGAAAAGGGAGGGGGAAGACGAGGACGGGGAGGAGCAGGAAGGGAAGGCATGTGTGCTGTGGGATGGAGGGAGAGAGGACGGGTGGAAATATGTGGGATGGAGGGTGAGGGAGGGAGGAGGGGGCGGAGGGGGCGGAGGGCATGGACAGAGAGGGGTCGAGTGTGAGAGCGGAGGGGGGTTGGCGAGGAGGAGGAGCTGTGGACGGGAGGGGAAGGAGGTTGCAAATGAGGAGCGCGTGGAAGGATATTGCGGATTTGTTTCTCGGAGATCGGCGCGTGTTCATCTCGTAGTCATGGTACGTCGCAAGCAGGCCACGATTCGGGCGACACACGGGGCAGAACTGCCACAGGTAGGGCGCGGCTCCCGCAATCAAGGCGCAAAACGGGCCCGGTGAGTACAGGTGAACCTCCAAGTTGACAAACCGATTCGCTTCTCGTCGCCCACCACCTGGGCTGGCACTGGAGGCGTACGCCGACATGGACCAGGAGACGAAGCAGCAGAAGATCTGCGAGCTCCTCGGCCGGGGCTGCATGTAGCATCCCGCCCTGGACGGCCCGCAACGGTGCGCCTGTTGGCCATCGCTTTTCAAGACATCGGCACATGGAAGATCGAGGGCTCGCAAGAGGGGCGGGGCGCGGGGGTTGGACTGATAAGAAAGACCGCGCCACTTAGAGGTGTGTGTGTGCGCGCGTGTGTGTGTATATGGTGTGTGTGTGCGCGCGTGTATGTTTTTTTTTTTTTTTTTTTTTTTGTGTGTGTGTGTGTGTGTGTGTGTGTGTGTGTGTGTGTTTGTGCGCATGTATGTATGTATGTATGTATGTATGTATGTATGTATGTATGCATGCATGCATGCATGCATGCATGTATGTATGTATGTATGTATGTATGTATGTATGTGTGTGTATGTATGTATGTATGTATTTATGTATGTATGTATGTCTATGTATATATATATATATATGTGTGCACCTGTGCATATTTATACTTACACGCATTTGTTGTAGGGAGGCTGCACCCTTCCAAGAAGGCCGCTGACTTGTGAAAGGTCGTCCGTATCGCCCCACCCCTCTTTGCGCGCCGCCACGAAGAGGCAGGAGGCCGGGTTCTGGGACTTTCGAGGGCCTTGATCGGGTTCTTGGCCTCTCAACGTGTTGTAGCGGAGCTCGTCAAACTATCTCCCGCTCCACCAGGCAGAGGTTAGCGTTGGGGGTTCCGCGGCATATCATGCTGCCCCAGACTTTCAGCCCTCCTGACTGGCTCAGTTCCGCAGGCTTTTGGACGGTCCGTCTCGCTCCAGCGACTGGCGACCGCATGAGGCTCCTGTACACTACCGTGCCTGGCCACTGCCAACCTGAACCCTAGCATGGTATGTAGACCCTCCTTGTCTTGGCCCTGCCAGGGCCTGGGATGACCCTGGCCAGGCATGCTGGTGGAGTATCGTATAGATGCTGTCTACGGGGGTCTTCGGAGGTCTCTGGAGATCCCCCGGTGGCCTCCAGAGGTCTCCGGAGGCCTTCGGAGGTCCCCGAAGGCCCTCGAAGTCCTTCCGAAGGGCCTCGGAGGCCTTCAAAGCGATGGCACTGTTTGAATAGCACTTTTCTCAAACGCTAGTTGCAGTTCAGTAGCGCTATCGTCCTTGGCAGACTGAAGCTGAACCGCACAGTAACCCCGTGCCCCGGTTAATAAAGCATCCCCCTTTAACACCTCAGTGTTGGTTATCACGGTCCAGGGCGGAGTTGGTCGGGGGAATGTGGCGGCGAGTCCGAGCTTCATGATCGCCGGGGAGAAGTGCGAGTCGAGATTGCGATCTTCTGATGTTGAGTAGCGTACTATACATTCTACATCCTACATACTACTACTACTACTACTACTACTACTACTACTACTACTACTACTACTACTACTACTACTACTACTACTACTACTACTACTACTACTACTACTACTACTACTACTACTACTACTACTACTACTACTACTACTACTACTACTACTACTACTACTACTACTACTACTACGACTACGACTACGACTACTACTACTACTACTACTACTACTACTACTACTACGACTACTACTACTACTACTACTACTACTACTACTACTACTACTACTACTACTACTACTACTACTACTACTACTACTACTACTACTACTACTACTACTACTACTACTACTACTACTACTACTACTACTACTACTACTTTTACTACTACTGCTGCTCCTCCTCCTCCTCCTACTACTACTACTACTACCATTACTACTACTACTACTACTACTATTGTTCCCTACCTAGGCTCTGCCTAGAAGGGCTCTTACCCTGTTTGCTTAAAGGGCTGGGCAGTGCGACCCGCCCCGGGCGGTTCCCCCGGCGTCCGCCCCTTGGCTCCCCCAGTGACGTCCCCTTAGCTTAGCGTTGCTTATCTCATCTTAGCTTAGTTTATTTCATCTTAGCTTAGCTTAGCTTCATCTTAGCTCAGGTTTATCTTAGCTTGGCTTACCTTCATCTTAGCTTCGCCGAGCTTTAGCATAGGAGAGCACAGCATAGCATAGCAGAACGTAGCACAGCACAGCACAGCACAGCATATCATAGCATAGCATAGCCCAGCATAGCATAACATAGCGCAGCATAGCATAGCATAGCATAGCGCAGCACAGCACAGCACAGCACAGCATAGCACAACGCAGCATAGCAAAGCATAGCATAGCAGAGCATAGCATAGCACAGCAGCAAAGCAAAGGCAAAGCAACAGCAGCGACAGCAAAGCAAAGCACAAGCAACGCAAAGCAAAGCACATCAAACGCAAAAGCAAAGCAAAGGAAAGGCGAAGCAAAAGCAATGTGCGACAGATGCCGAGCTAGCCTCGATGGCCGGCATAGCACAGCGCAGCATAGTATAGCATAGCTTAGCATAGCACAGCGCAGCATAGTATAGCATAGCTTAGCATAGCACAGCGCAGCATGACACAGCAAAGCATAGCTTAGCATAGCATAGCATAGCATGGCTTAGCATAGCATAGCATAGCATAGCAACTAATGCTTCTTTCCTAGGGGCTCCAACGTCTAGGTAGGGTCGAACTGGGGTAATTGTTTATGATTACGGCTTCTCCTTCAACTATGGCTACCATTGCATCCTGCTTGTGCTCTTACTATTCTTTTTACGACTATTGCTATTACTATTACCACCACTACTATAATTAAAATTAGCATTACTACCAACACATCCAACCATTACTACAACAGCAACAACTACTACCACCATTGCGGCTACTACTACTACTACTACTCTTACTACTACTATTATTACTACTACTACTACTACGACTTCCTATTAGTAGTATTGCTACTACCACTACGACTGCTTCTTCTCCTAGCACCACCACGACTACCACCATTACTACTACTACCACTTTAACGACCACTACCACTACTACTACTACTATTATTACTACTACTACTATTACTACTATTATTACTACCACTACTATTACGAGTACTAGTACTACATACTACTACCGACTACTAGTACTACCGACTAGTAGTAGTAGTAGTAGTAGTAGTAGTAGTAGTACTACTACTACTACTACGACTACGACTACTACTATTACTGCTACTATTACTACTACTCTTACTCTTACTTTTACTCTTACTCTTACTCTTACTCTTACTCTTACTCTTACTCTTACTCTTACTCTTACTACTACTACTACTACTACTACTCCTACTACTGCTGCTACTATTGCTACTACTACTACTACTACTACTACTACTACTACTACTACTACTACTACTACTATCACTACTATCACTACTATCACTACTACTATCACTACTATCACTACTACGGCTACCACCACCACTACCACTACCACCTATCCTTTCCTACCTACCCTATTTTAACCTACCGTGCCCGACCCTACCCTACCCTATCCTTCCCTACCTTACCCTACCCTACCTTACCTTACCTTACCCTGCCTTGCCCTACCCTACCCTACCCTACCGTACCGTACCGTACCGTACCCTGCCTTGCCCTACCCTACCCTACCCGACAATTATTACTAGTCCTTCTGCGACTACTATTACTGCTACTGCTTTTGCTATTACGACTCTGAATCGTTCTCTTACTACCACTACCACTACGACTACGACTACGACTACGACGACTACGACGACTACGACGACTACTACTGTTACCGCTACTACTACTACTACTACCATTCGCATCACTACTGTCACTACTACCGCTACCACCACCACTACCACTATTACCTACCTTATCCTATCCTACACTGCCCCACCCCACCCTACGTACACCTACCGTACCCAACCCTACCCTACTCTATCCTACCCTACCCTACCCTACCTTACCCTACATTACCCTACCCTACCCTACCCTACCCTGCCCTACCGTACCGTACCGTACCCTGCCCTGCCCTACCTTGCCCTACTACTACGACTACTACTACTACTACTACTACTACTACTACTACTACTACTGCTACTGCTACTGCTACTGTTAGGACTAGTACTACTATTACTACTACTACTACTACTACTATACTACTACTACTACTACTACTACTACTACTACTACTACTACTACTACTACTACTACTACTACTACTACTACTAGTACTAACTACTAATTACTAACTACCAACTAATAACTACTAGCTACTAGCTACTAACTACTACTACTACTACTATTACTACTACTACTACTATTACTACTACTACTGCTGCTGCTGCTGCTACTACGACTACGACTACGACTACGACGACTGCTAGTAGTAGTAGTAGTACTACTACTACTACTACTACTACTACTACTACTACTACTACTACTACTACTACTACTACTACTACTACTACTACTACTACTACTACTACTACTACTACTACTACTACTACTACTACTACTACTACTACTACTACTACTACTACTACTACTACTACTACTACTACTACTACTACTACTACTACTACTACTACTACTACTACTACTACTATCATCACGACTACGACTACGACTACGACTACGACTACGACTACGACTACGACTACGACTACGAACTACTACTACTGCTGCTGCTGCTGCTGCTGCTGCTGACTACTACCCATAGGGAGCTCCACCAAAGGCCCCAGCGGGCGCTTCCGCTGGGGCCTTCGGTGGAGCTCCCTATGGGGCCATGAAGCGCATACGGGGTGTGCCAAAGTGGAGGGGGTGCGGCATGCGAACCATGCTGCTGGGGCCTTCGATGGAGCTCCCTGTGGGGCCACGAAGTGTGCGAGGGGTGTGCCAAAGTGGAGGGTCGGAGGCATGCGGACCATGCCACTGGTGCCTTCGGTGGAGCTTCCCATGGGGCCACGAAACGTGTGAGGGGTGTGCCAAAGTGGAGGGGGGCGGCAACCATGCCACTTGGGCCTTCGGTGGAGCTCCCTGTGGGGCCACGAAACGTGCGAGGGGTGTGCCAAAGTGGAGGGGGGCGGGAGGCGAACCAGGCCACTGGGGCCTTCGGTGGAGCTCCTTCATAGG